TTATTACAAACAAACAAACAATCAAAAAACAGATGCAGTGTTTTCTCTTTTTTTTTTTTTAATATGCAAAGTCAGGAAGATTTAAAATCAAGCTAAGAACAGTGTTACAGACATGAAATTTGTTTTAAAGCCTATAATTTTTCAACATAAGCATCTGGCTTAAGCAATCCAGTGTGTTTATAGATGCCAAGCTGGGCCCTTGGCCTTAGAAACACTACTCTCTAACAACAAAGTTGCCTAATGACTATACAGAGAAAGGACAAGACTTTTACAACAACCAACTGGTAAATGTATGTGTGAGGAAGAGAAAACTGTGACTTAAGTGATGTCTTTAGTGCCCTGGCCTCCCTGCTCCCCTTTATCCATTCTACCCCCACCCTCTATCCCTTTTTAGGGCTCTCTTCAAATCTAGCTATCAAAGCCTACTCTCAGTAAATTGTCTGAAACCCATTCACACAAAGGTCTGAGTAATAATAACAAAGTCAATACTGTTGAAAAGCAATAAAATGTTAAAAGGATCTTAAACTAAAAGAATGAAGCTTTAAGGACTAGGGAAGATTGCAGGCATTAGTGTGAGGGAGGATTATTTCAGACTCTAAGGTCTTCCTGGAGCCCCTAAAATTCTGGCTTTCCCCCCTCTTCCCACCACCAGTCACTTGTCTACTGTGCCAAGATGATGCTTCAGAGAAAGTTTGGACTTACTGACCTCTGAGGTACTTGTCAATTCAATTCAGTACAAAAGTATGTATTAAGTGCTTACTGTGTTGAAAGGCACTGTTGTAGGTACCAGAGATTTTTAAAAGTACTTGCCCTCAAGGAGCTTACATTCTACAGGCAAAAACAACATGCAAGCAGATAAGTAAATGCAAGATAATTTGAGGAGAGAGAGAGAGAGAATACTGAAAAATTAAGGGATCAGAAAGATTTCCCATAGGAAGTGGCATATGAGCTAGGCCTTGAAGAAGCCAAGGATTCTAGAAAGCACTAGTGAAGAGGGAGTGCATTCAAGTATGAGGGAAAGCCTGGGCAATGGAAGAGAGGTGCGGGTGGAAAGTCAAATCTGAGGAATAGCAAGTAGGCTTTGGATTCTAAGAGTGTCAGTGATGTGAGAGGGCATTCTAAATCATTAGCCATCCCTTTCATTCTACAAAATGAATACAAATTCTCCTTATAGTGATATTACAGTATATTGTCCTCGATTCTGAGAGTATCATGTCATGTACATCCATGTTCTCTTAAATATTTTCTTCCATACTGAAGGTTGAATATTAGTAGTTTGGGGCGGTAAAAAAAAAAAAAGGACACTGGATTTGGATTCAGGAAATCCTATTTCATCTTAGAACAGTCTTTGGCACTCTGAGCAAGTCTCTCAACCTTTCCAAATCTGTTTCCTAATCTATAAAATGTAATAGCAATATCATAGGGTTATTGTGAGGATAAGACGTGATAAATATTAACTGTAATTAAAGCCCTTCCTAGTGGCTGTTTTCTGATACTTGACATTTGTCAGTTAACTTTAGGAAATATCCTTCCAAATGGTTCACAGTTAATTCTGCGTTATCAGATCTGGATTTTCAGCCCATTGACCATATCAAACTCTGACTAAATTCACTGTTCATTAAATGGGTTTAAATCTTAAACTGTGAGGGCATATGTGCTGAGGAACCTTGAGCCCACCCCTATATAGAGTGATATAGGAATACTGTAGAGCTGAAAATGTGTCCTCCCTTATTTATACTCCCCTTGTTTTCCATTCCTCTCTGTATGCGAAAAATGCACTCTAGGTGAGTCACAGAAGACAACCAATCTCAGCATTTTGTGACTGTAGATGACGCGATTATGAAACTTGTATCCTTGTCTAAAAGAGAAGCCTACCCTCCTATGCCTGGCAACCCCCAGCACAAATTGATCCCCAGGCGTCAGAATTCAGAGAAGAGAGTTATAGCTGCTCCTAGTTACAATCAGCTCCAAGGGCACACTCAATTTCTAAACAGCATTTCTAAAATTTACTTCATATCACACACTTCAAGTCATCATTTCAGAATTCTCACTGCAATCATGGCTAGTATTACATTGGAACATAGCATAAACCCGACCGATCACATTCATTTGCTGCTTACAGCACAGAATGAACAGTAACACCTGCAGCTCTTGGTCACATGTGCTCTTGTGCCTGGGATGTTGTCTGTATTGACATTCAGCGATGGCTCAGAACAAACTGGTTTTGTCATTTTTGTTTTGGCTGTTAGATAAGCCGTTGTGAGATAAACAGAGTTATTCTGCTTCACTTTCAGGGTGATTTAGTCCTTTGATATTTGAAGGGCAAAAACCAATAACAATCTAGAAACCTCGTAATGTGGCACCACTGAAGATAAGGAATGCCCAATTTGTCATGGAAAATCTCATTAACACTTCCTCCTGATTTGTATTTATGATTATCTTAAAATGAGTGACTACTAACAAATGCCTTCTTCTCTCTGCTCGACAGTTGTGGGGCAAAAAGCTATTTGACTAAAGCAGATGTGATGGTCAGGTAATCTTCCTGTTACTTGGGGAAACAGAAGGTAGAATGCACATTTGGAAAAACTATGCCACAGCACTGAATTTTTCTGTGGGGTTCAGTTGTCTCTCATCTTTAACTCCTATTAATCTTATTTCAAGCTTTTTTATATTAAAGAATAGAGATTCTCACTCAAGAGTTGGTGAAGTATATGAGCAACAATCTTTTTTGAGTGGAGGCAGAGACTTTTTATAAATTTCTAATAACATGGGAGTTTCCTCTTGCCCATGCATGTAATATACCTAGATCTTTCAATTAATATCTTTACTCTTTCAAAAGACAGCTGAGGTATCTTCTTTTGTAGTTAGAGTGCCCTGACTTCATCTTTTACAAAATCTGTTCCCCTTGTTATAAAAAATCCTAAAGGACAATGGAACTGGTAGTTACAATATAAATAAAGCTATAGAAGAAAATTTTAAAAAATAATGCTCCAAAGTGGGAGGATTGAGACTCTAATCACTAAATGATGGATAAACTAAATAGCTTTTCAAGTGATCAGGGAATTACGAAAATCTCTAGGCTGGTTATAATGGATACATTGAGTTGTGTGACACCAAATTCAACTACCTGTGTCACAATACAATCATTCCCAGATAGCAAAAGCAATGATTTCTGTCTGTTCCAATAAAATCAACGATCCTACATATTAGTTTCTTTAGCACTGAGCCCTGACAGACAGATTAGCTAGAAAGAATCACTGAACCCCAGGCTAGGTCCTTCAAATTCTGGAGAAGTAGATCTTCAAATGTATAAATGTGTAAAGAGTTCATATTTATCTTGTTTCTTGGATGGATCTATGATCCATGTAGATTTTCTATTAATTTATATTGCCCAATCATTTTCCTCAAAACAGAGGTCAGTGCTCTTTCTTCATTAAGCCTGAAATTTCTCAGGACTTCCAAAGCTATTACTTCAACCTAAGAACTGATTATTACTTATTTGGCCCTCTGTTCATGACTTTATCTTCCACATTTCAGTGAAGAGAGTATGCCATTAGGAAGAGCTTTTGTTGTTGTTTATCTTAATGAACTGAGTAATAGCCAAAAATTCCTAATAGCACCATGTTGAGGGTTTAATACGGTCCCAGGCACATTTTGCAGAACCTGACTGTGTAAAAAATACATAATATTTAGTGTTCTCATTTGAACACTAACTTGGCATACAATGCAAACTCAACATTTAGGTGAAACCTCCAGATGATTCCCACTACAATTATTCAGGTTCATTAATGTTCAAAATCAAACTACATTCCAGAGTCTAATAGGTGTTTGATGTGTGAAGGACCTTACTAAAATACGAAAAGATCTGGGGAAAGAACTTCACTGCAAAGAACTTGTTTCAACAAAAGCTCAATTTGTCTGAACTGTACTATCATAGGATATTGCCAATGATGCAGAAACAACCATTCACCAAACTATAAGAAAAGAGCCTTTCATTTTCACTGTCTCTAAGATGAAGGTATAACGATGGTAAAACAAGACCAACCTAGCTGAGAAGGTCTGCCTTGTTTTAGTTATATGGAATTTCTCAGAGTTCTTTTAGAAAACTGTGGTCTTCCAATTCAGTTACAGCACAATTCAACAGGACCAAAGAGCTATAGAAGCACTAAACTACCACGGTAAAGTGCACATAAACTGGGATAGGTACAGTTCTTTCCCAACCAGATTAATAAATAAGCTCCTGTCTTTTTATGCGATGGGATCTTAGATGAACTATTAGAATGGGAATTACAGAATGCGAGAACTAGAAGCGACTATCGAGATCACCAAGTTTAACTCTCTTGTTTTTATAGATGAGTAAAGTAAGACCCAAAGAGAATGTTATTGAGGACTTTGCTCCATGAGGATGGAGATTAGAGCAGTTGTCCTATCTCTCAATAGTAATAGTCCCTGATTCCTTGACTTGCCATGAGTTGTAAAAGTCAGGGGCTGAGCAGAAGCCAGTCCTCTTGACCCCTACACCTCAATATTCTTTCCTCTATGGCATGCTATTTCACAGCTATGGTAACATAAAAACACTAACAGGAAGGGAAAAAATCAACTTGACACTTACAGGAACCAGCAAATAACTACAATCAAGGCAGAAAAGAAGCTCACACCTCTGTTCTCATTTGCTCAGCAAGCTAGAGCTGGCAAGATTTCTCAAAAGGAGTTTTCTTCATCATCTAAAGTACCAGGTATTTTTTTTAAATGAGCTTAATAAACCCATTTCTTGAGCTGTTGCAACAAGTACTCTGTTCCTCTGTAAAAGTACATTTGTCCAAATAGTCAAGTATTGCTTATGCTCAAGACTGATCCTACAGGTGAAGAGGATAAAGAACAAAATCAGATCCCAAGGAGGCAACTGTACAGGAAACTGATTTTTAAAAATATACATTTTTAAAATTTATTCAGCAAATAAAGGAAAAGCTTACTAGGAAAGAAGGAAACAACTACACCAATTTTAGGAGCTGGGGTGATTTTATTCAAATAAAATTGGGTTTTATGTGTGTTTCATTGGAAATGCTAATGAACAAATATCAAGTAAGTATTGTCAAACTTCAGGTACGCATTGGCAAAAGCAAAGTAATCCCAAAAGATAAAATAGGGCAGATAAGCACTAATTGACAGATGTCCTCTCTCAAGTGACAGTCAAGATTTAATAAACAAAGTAATCCTCATGACCTGATATTTATACTTTGGGGTAGAAAGCACAGGGAAGCAAAGTAACAGTATTCCCTTAGTTAAAAACTTTTCACATTTAAAACAAGATAATTAACTCTAGGGATAGGATGGAAGTTTTCCTAGTCTAAGATAATGCTATCTCCCAAAAGGTAAAACAAAACCAAAAAGGCATCATATGATAACAATGTTTTAAAATTAGTCTGATCACATGTGATGTTTATGACTGGACTGTGAAACTAAATGTCCTGTTGTGTTGTTTCAAATTGGCTAAACATCGGTCAGTTAAGATGTTTTTATCTTTGCTTCTAGAGTTTGCTAAAATACAGTATGGTATTTAACAATGGAATTCTTGAAACTGTGGAGTAAGCCTTGTATCAAATGAATATGATCGTAAACACCTACACATTTTTATCAAATTAATTGAATTAGTTTCTAAATAAAAAAGTTATAAAAAGGCAATATATCTAAAGTTATCAAAACACACTACACCAAAAAAAAAATTTTAGCTCTCCCCTTCGAGTGATACAGAATTGTCATTCACATTATCTTAAGTGAGGTTTGAAGAACTCTTAGAACAGATGGAAGCACCACTGGAGTTGATTTGTCCAGATGTACAGGAGCAAAGAAATACTTCCAGTCAACTTAAAACCCTAGTGGAGAAAAACATACATGGTCAGAGTCATCACTTCCTTTTCATTTCTTTCAGCATGGCTTGAAATGAAAGAAGGAGAGGCTAGGTTCACAGCAATAAAACTTTTCAGCTTCTCCCAAAGTAGCGGCCAGACTATCTTTGCTGAAGACTCTTCATATCTTAGAGAACCTTACGCAGCTCTAAGGGACAAGCAGGATTGTCTGCTTCTGTGTCATTAGCAACGGTCAAGAGCAGAAGACGTGGGAATAATAATGCCTGTGTTTATTATGCTTATATAGTACTGTACAGTCTACAAAGTGTTTTCACCTACGTATCTCATGTGACTCCCAAAATTGAGCTCCAAGAGGTTACATGACTTGTCCTAAGTCCCACAGCCAACAAGGAAGTCAGGGTGGAGCGAGGACTGGAATCCAAGTTTACTGCCTTCTACCTCTTAAGATACTGCCTATGTCAACCAGGAACATTAGCGTCACTGAGAAATACAACTGGAGTGTCCATCTATCAAAAAAGACACATTCTGAGATTGACAGAACTATGAAGAGTTTGAAGAACTTTAGCTAATCTAAATTAATCTAATCTCCACTTACTTGCATTGATATCTCTTGATGGAGAAGGGCTTCGGCTTCTTGATGCCTACAAAGCATAGAACAACAACAAAAGGTCAATGATTAATGGGACTTAAGCTTATAACACAGTTGGGTTTTTTTTCCTAATACCAGATAAAGAGTGGCTCCAAAGCACTTCAGAATTATGCTGAATTATTCTTATATTATGTATTATTATTGTATTATATATTATTATATATAATTATTATTCAGAATTATTTTTTGCTCTAAAGTTGTTTAGCAGTTGTAGCTTTTGTTGGACTGTATGGGATAGAAATATATGTGTGTGTGTGTGTGTGTGTGTGTGTGTATTTTTTTTTAACTGGAGACTTAATGTTAGTTTGTCTTAAATTGAGGCAGCTAGGGGGCCCAGAGGATAGAGCAATGGAGTTGGAGACAAAAAGACTTCAGTTCAAAGCCTACCTCAGATATTAATTAGTTTTGTGACCCTGGGCAAGTCACTTCTCTGTCTCAGTTGCCCTATCTGTAAAATGATAATAATAGCCCCTACTCTCCTCATGGTGTTGTTGTAAAGACCAAATAAAATAACACGTAAAGTGCTTTGCAGATTTGAAGCATTACATAAATGTTAGCTATTACTAAATTGCTTTATTAACTACTAAAAAGATGCGTCATAAAAGTATAAATCAATCTATTTAGATGGCTTTTCCAGGTTCATACAAGTAGGTTAAAGAGGTATCTGGAACTAGGGTCCACAAGAACTCAAGATAATGTAATTTCTATTTTATGTATGATTTTCATTGAAAAATTAGAACAAAAGGTATTAAAATCTAATGGGGAGGTGGAGTAAATTTGATTCTTTCTAGGCTTATAAACCATCCTCTATAGAACAGTAAACAACAGCATTCCTGTTGATGGTACCACAATCCTCCAAGATACCTGGGAGCAAAATCTCAGCCTTCTCTGACTTTCTCCTCTCCTCCCTCATAGTCCCCACATATGACCAAATGTGAAGCTGTATCAATGCTTTCTTTCTCAACATCTCTGACACCAACTCCTTCTCCCCAGGCACACCCTCACTACACTCATTCACCTCTAAAACTTCTCACTTGGACTATTTCAATAGCTTCCTAACTGGTCTCCCTTCCACTGGTCTCTCCTCCTTCCAATCTATCCTTCATATAACTGCCAAAATAACGTTCCTATCACACAGACTCGAGAAATCATTCTCCCGCTCAAAAACTTTCATGTGTTGGGGCAGCTAGGTGGTTCAGTGGGAAGAGAACTGGCCCTGGAGTGAGGAGGACCTGAGTTTAAATCCAGCCTCAGATACTTGACACGTTCTAGCTGTGTGACCTTGGGCAAGTCACTTAACCCCATTGCCTAGCAAAAAATAAACAAAAAAAGAAACCCAGGAACTATATGAACACAATTACAAAACACTCTTCACACAAATAAAGTCAGATCTAAATAATTGGAAAAACATCAGTTGCTCATGGGTAGGCTGAGGTAATATAATAAAAATGACAATTCTAAAAAAAAAAAAAACTTTCATGTGTTGCCTAATAAATTCAATGCACACTCCTATGCCGCCCACTTAGGATCTGATCCTGGCCTCCACAGTCTGCCTCCAATCTATCTTTCCAGGCTTCTTTCCTCCTACTCTCCTTGCTACATGCTATGTTACAGACAAACTATGCTACTAGTTGTTCTTTACTCTTGTCTTGCCTTTTCCCATTTCTTATCTGGAACATACACTCCTTCCTCATTTCCATTTGTTGAAATCATCCTCTCCCTGCAAGACCCAGCTCGAATGCTAACCTTCTCCATGAGGCTGAAAGTGATCTCTCTCTCTCCCTATGTTTATCATAGAATTTGGCATAGACTCTACCTTTGTCCTCCTCCTTTCTCTACTTTGACTCATACTTTCCTTAGGTATGTGTCTCATCCCTCAAAGTGCTCGTATACACAGTAGGCACCTATTGCTGAACTGACTGTTGAAGGCCCCAGGAAATGAGATGGCTTTCTCCGGGTTATGCAAATAGTGGCAAAAGCAGAACCTGAACATTGATCCTTAGAATCCAAAGTCAGTGCCTCATGCTATCCTAGCAAATTATCGCTCTACCCATAGATGGACATTATATTGATCCAAACAGAGGTTTTTCCCTAGAATATATGCTGCAACCCTAACATGACAACCCTTTGAAAATATATTATCTCTGTGTGTGTATATATATATATATGTTTAATGTATATATATGTACACACACATACATAGACACATGTATATATATATGTATATACATACATAGACATAAGCCTGAAAACCATACAAAATTATTATGTAAAAGTATATTTCAAAGTGAAATGTATCATCTTACATTTCTTTCAATTCAAATAAAATGTTTTACTAATTTTTACCTAAAAAAGGAAAAAAAATAAAGAGTGAGATTATAAGCACAGGTTTTTTACAGACCAGATGTGGAGAATGTTTTGGCCTATACTCAGACCAATATAACTACTGATTTTCCTATAAGGAAATGGAAGGAATAGAAGTTACTGACTCCTCAAGATAAAAATTTGTTTCATAGAATTTAAGATAATTAGAGTGATAAATACCCCGCTTTTACACGGGCTACCATGCTGAGGGACAGGGCTTAGACTTCGACTCCTACTTCGGTTGACGCATTTCACAGATGACCACTGTATCAGAGAACAGAAAGGAAAAAGTCACATGGTTGTGAAAAAGTAACCACACAACTTAACACTACGTGTGGGAATAGCTTTGGATCCAATTGTTATCAATGTTACTAGTCTTCTACTACTGACCATCAGTATAATTTATACCAATTTTGTTTCCTATAATTATCAAATACTATATTTAGTAACAGGTTGTAGTGTTTCTCTGATAAAATCCCATTACAAAGAACTCTAAGGGACATCCAATTTCTTTGTGTCACTATAATTTTGTTAAAATGAGTCAATTACTAGAAATTACATTCACAGTCTATAACATATGGAAATACAGCTGATTAATAAATGGAAAAAAAATACTTTTGATAAGAAAAAGGGAGGTGGTGGTATCCTCCAACCCACTAATCTCATATTCCTCAAAGTTTCATCTATTTGTTTAATGTCATTTTGTTTTAGGAATTTAAAGAGTAACAAGTTCTGATCTTTGATGTAAGAAAGGTAAGTGAATTTTAAAACTTATTGCTATTTGAACATAAGGACCATCAAATAGCTCTCTAATTCTTTCTGCAATGCAAACAGGTGCTTTATTACAAGGCAGGAATTGGAAGGAACATTTGTTGTATGGGATCTTTCAATATATAAAGGTTATTGCAACCAGTTTAACAATACCTCTTTTCTATTTCTGCCTCACTGAAACATGGAAATGGTTTTGCTATCTAGAACCCTTCACTGTAATGATATTCACATACTGGGATTTTACCCATAATATGCTTCATAAATTCCCTTTAATTCATTACAAAATTGAAATTATTCAATAAACTTATTGGGTTTAATTCTCCCCGTGATATCCAGAAATACTTGTGGTCATTACCCTCCCCATCCTCCAATACAAAGAAAATAGAAACAGAGCCTATCCCTTGTGCTCTTACATAATGACTAGGAGAAATTTACTCTCCACCACAAAACTGACAATGCTTTCCAGGAAGCACAGTGATATAAACTATATGATGGACATTATACAGAATATCCATACACTCACAACCGCCAATGAAACCCATCAAGGTTCTCCCAATCAAACCCCATTTTGGTGACCAAGTGTGAAAGCCATGCACAGAGCAGAGTGCTTGTGCACAGGAGGCAATGAATCCATGAGTTACACTAGCTTCAATTCTCATGCCCTCACCTCCTCCCTATAAAGGAGAGGGAAATATGATCAGATTCAAGATTTCTTGGAATTAAGGGATATAAAGATTTGGGCAAAATCCTTAAGATTAACTGATAATTTAAAAATGAATAGGACTACACAGGGTCTCCATTACAGCATGGGTCAAAGGACTTTGCCTATATAATCTCACAATATTCCTGAGAGGGTGAAGGTAAATATTACTTCTCCCATTCATGGATGAGGAAGCTTGCTGCCCAGGAAAACATGGTGAATCGGTGGTAGAGCCAAAGAACAGACTTAGTTGTCTTCTAGCCTATCCATTGAACCACATACTTCCTCCCCTTTACGTGAAACCTTTTAAAATGATTGTTTTTATGAAATTCTTTGTGGAATCAATGGAACATAATTCGTCTGGGTACAAAAAGTGCCATGAATCTGTGACGCAAACAGATTCGATGAATTGCGACTCCACAATGACACCGTACAAAAGCCCCTCTCTTGGTGACAGCTTCTCCCTTCATAATGATATTTTCATTCTCCATCAGAGCAGGCCACACGTGATAGAAGACCAAGGGAGCCGTGAAATCAGAGTCACAGCTGCGGCGATACCTATTTTAAACACATGTATGAGAATTTTATCATAGTAAAGAAAGATAAGCTGAGAATAACGTGAAACTGGAATGAATCCATAATGGATCACCACCAGAGTCACTTCTACTTTAGCTTTACGTATAATATCATCATATTAATCATTATATAAAATATATAACAGTATTATATTAATAATTATGTTAATTAGCTAGATAAAGAAAAATAAGCAACGTAAGTAAGTTTTGTACTTCTGGGACCAGACATGAGGCATTATGTACTATTAGGTACAATTAAGTGGAGCATGTACACAATAGAATGACCAGGATGGTGAGCAATCTTTAAAGCATATCTATTGAGAAATAGTTCAAATGAATGGTTATGTAGGTTGAGCCAAGATCAGTGGGTGAAAGGTATAAAGCAGCTGGTAAGTGCTCATCATACAGAAGAACTTTCTAATTAACAGATATGTCTAATAGAGTCACAGTCTACTTTGCATGTCAGGGAGCTTTCTTTCAACTAGATATATTTAATCAAAAGTCGGTAAAGCTTCTGTCAAGGATTCCACCCTGGGAGAAATGTTGGACTACATGGGCTCTGGGATCCCTTTGTAATTTGAATGTTCCATAATTTTATGATTCTAAGAAGTTTGTAGATGATTCTGGGTTGTAAATTTCCCTAAGAAGAGATTTATAGGAAAGGAATGAGGAAGATTACATTTTTAATATTAAGAAGATTACATTGTTTTGCCTTGCAAAACAAGCAAAAGAAAAATTATCTGAAACCTAGACATTGATTGAAAACTAGGAGTAGCAATGACAGCAACTAGAAAACAGATATAATTGATATAATAGGTACAATGAAATCCATCTTTACTGTAAGTTGTATGTGGCATAAAGGAGTACTTATTCTCCCCTTACATGAGCTCTGATCATGTATGGCTAGAGAAGCCACTAAGGGTTAGTAAAATCCTAAAAACTGAACAAAGACCTAGAACTGTGATTGACAATTCTGGTTCAGTAACAACTTAGAGAGATCCCATTTATCTGGAGGGGTAAGATTTAAATGTTCAACTCAGATTTTTAAATGTTCAAGACAAAATTAACTTTAATTTCTACTTATTTGAAAGAAAAGCCCATCATAGAGAACTTTTAGGAAGGGAAACTGAATATCAAACTAAAATAGGTAATTATAATTTTGGAAAGGTTGGGAATCATTGCTCTAAACGATACAGTAAATATTCAATAATACATTTGTGTATTTATGTGGCACATTTCTTCTAAGATACTTCAATCAGATACCCATTAATCCACACTATCTCCCAATGAGTTATACTTTCACCACAACAATTCAATCCCATGTAATTGAGGGAAAAACTCTATTCAAGGTGAAGTGGTTTATAATAGCATTCATTATTATACTTATTGCTGTAATAACAGTAATAAGGGTAGGGACAAGCCCAAGAGTCAATCTATGTCTTTTGACTCCCTTTATCAATGTTCTTTACTCAAAACAACACTTTCCAAAAGTTAGGAGCAGCAGCCCCACATTGGCTCAGAAGATATGCTCTAATTGATTTGTGAAATATTTCTTAGCTTTTTTAGATTCTATTTTTGCACCTAAGTTTTCTTACTTGCAATCATTAAAAATCTCTCCATCAGCACCAAATGCAATATCTAGGGGAGGATCCAAAGTCTGCATTGCAAATGCAATACAGCATATCTCCTTGATGAAGCAGCTAATAATGGCAAACTCAACTTCAGGTGGAAAAGAAATCTTGGGGTTCACGTTCATGGCACGAATCACGTCCTGAAAATAAAAAGACCTTATTCTCATTATTCACTTGTGACAAGAAATTATGATTTCCTAGAACTTTGACATGTGTGAGAGATCAGAAAAACAGGCCACTTGGGTGGGCTACAGTGAAGAGAAAAAGAAAATGCATTTAGAAAAAGAATGGAAACTGTACCTTAACTACTACCTACTCACGTAGCAGGGAACAAAGAAGGAAGGACAGTGACAGACCCAGATCACGCAGTGCTAAATGGAGAATACAGATAAGTGGCTTTTTTTCTTACCATTACCTTTATTTTGCCATCCTAGGTAAATGCATGATTTGCCTATACTGGAGATCTTGTTCATAAACTTATCTTAAGAATATGAACTATGCTCAATTTAATCCTATAAAACTTCCAAAGAAGGAAGCAGAAGTCAATAAACACCTAGCAAACCTATTACTATGCATATATATGTATGTATATATGCATACATATATACATGTTATAAGTATAGCAACAAATAAAGTAGATGTTTACTTCCTCTCTCTTCTAAAACAGAGGTATGCTTACTATCTGTGTGACCCTGGGCAAGTCTCTTAACCCCAGTTGCCTTAAAAAAAAAATGAAGGACAAAAACAGAGGTATGGGGGCAGCTAGGTGGTGCAATGGATAGAGCACTGGCCCTGGATTCAGGAGGACCTGAGTTCAAATCCAGCCTCAGATACATAACACTAACTATCTGTGTGACTCTGGGCAAGTCACTTAACCCCATTGTCTAGACAAAAATAAAATAAAATAAAACAGAGGTGTGTTTTAAAAATAAGATAAATTTATGGTTATATAGATTATCTTCTAGCCAATGACATCATTAACAGAGTACATTCATCCTGTTAAAAATTTCCAGCACTTACATTAACGCTGCTTTGAACATCATATAAATCAAGATGACAAATTATGTAATCCGTGACAACGTCCTCAATAGATTCTGTCCCAATATGACCTGGTGTTAAAGTCTTCCTCACACGTATTTTGAAGTGTCTGAATGCCATCTTAGCTACATGGAAAGACTCCTGCACATTAAAAAATGCCATATATTCTTCTTAGTGAAGGGGATGGTAAAGCAGGGGCTACAAAACAACCATAATCAAAACAAAAATTTTTTTTTGTCTTCTTGTTGACCTTAACCAAGATGTTTAAAAGAAGTTTTGGGAAAGGAAGAAATTTCAGGGGTTTCAACAAAGCCTCTATCCCTGAATCAAAAAGTACACAATGAAAAGGCTATGAGATTTAATGGATTTCAAGACAGTTGACAATAATCTAAAGTTAATTTTGTTTGTCAATCATTGCAATATGGTTTATGGGAAGACAGAAATAAATCATCTAGCTTATAGAAGCATTTGCCTAATAGTGGTAGCTGATGTTGTGAACCCAAACAAGAATCATACTATTAATAAAGAAAGATTAGGAAATCATATTGTTCTACTATTAACTAGCTATGTATCTTTGGTCAAACCATTTGATCTTTCTGGGTTTCAGTTTCCTCATATGTATAATGAATGGATTGGACTAGATAATATCAGGTTTCTTAAAGAACTAAAAGTCTACAGAATTATACATATGTGTACATATATATATATATATGTATATATATATATATATACACATGTGCAAATATAACATAATACATCATGGAGATAAAAAGAATGTAGGAAGGAAGGAAGGAATATCTTTGATAAATTAATGATCTACTAGCCTTTCCAAACACTGTTAATTAATACCACACTATATAAAAACTGTCAGCAAGACATCTATACCCCAGTAATTTTATGTCCTACCACTGTGGCAATATAGATGATCCTCTGCACCGTTTCCATCTTATCAATGTATCTCTTGAGTAAGGTCTGTGCCTCCATTCGGCCTTTAGTATATGCATCAGTGAAACGGGCCAGGAGATTAGCTTTGCGTGAGACAGAGTTCAGCCTGTTGGCTAGAGGTGACAGGGTCATCTCTTTTTGAACGGGACTGGAAGCCCTGCTGCATTGGGAATCAGGGCTAGGAGACCGGCTCCTGGAGAGTCTGTCAAAGAAGCATTAAAAGCATCTGAGAACTCTTAGTCAACAGCACATTGTGCCCTGGGTACCAGCCCCCTCCCCTTACACATAGATTTAGATGTGGAAAGGACCTTAAAGGCCATCAAGTCCAAAACCCTTATTTTAGAGATGAGGAACCTGAGGTGTGTAGGGCCAGGAGAAGAATGGAGTTTGTCAAAAAATAAAGATGGTCCAAAGATAACTCTATCTTACTTGGGCCTCAATATGTCCTCTTCACTTGATTTTACTTGAATTCAATACAACAAATATTTCTTAAATGTTTATTTAATGGCACATAGCACTGAGGGAAATAAGAAGATAAAGAAGAACTAGTCCTTGCCCTTAGTAGGAAAATATGGTGGTGGTGGAAGGAACACTGGACTCAGAGTTAGAACACCTGGTTTGACTTCCAGTGGCTGTAAGAAAGGCACTTACCCTCTCTGAGCCCCAGTTTCCTCATCTGTAAAATGGGGATAATAATACTTGCATTCCATATCTTCCCTGGGTTGTTGTGCGGAAAAGTATTTTGTGAATCTTAAAACATTATATAAATGAGAGTTGTTATTGTCATTATTAAGGGACAAAAGACATGTAAAGTGATTATAATACAAAATAAAATGGTTGCATTAAAGAAGTACAAACAAGGTGCTATAAGAGTTCTGTGGGGGAAAAGCTCAATTCCTGTTTGGGAGAGATTGGTGCAAGCTTTGTAGCACCTAAGCTACATCTTGAAGGGTAAGGAAAATTTCAACAGGAGTAGATGGAGAGAAGTAATGGAAAGGAAAAGGAAACATGTTCTAGGCAGGGAAAAGGTATGAGCAAAAGCATGGGGACAGGAAAACCTGAGATGTATTCATGGTTCAGTAAGTACCCTGTTTGTCTGGAGTTTGTCTGGAGTGTGGAGGTCATGGATTGAAATTGTATTTGATCCTGCTACAAAAACCGGTTAGTGACAGACAGTCAAGAGCCATGAATGCTCTTGGCCATGAAGGCCAAGGAGTTAACAGCTTTGTTTAAGTTTCTAAATGTAGGAGAAAAGATATAACACAAAAACAGGGTCAGAAATTGCTTATATCTAGAAGGGATAGGGTCTCTCAATAAGTATGGCCAAATGATCATCCCTTTTATAGAATGGGTCCCTAAGCCCCACAAAAAGTCCCTCTATATTGCCCAAAGACCTTTGGAAATGGGAACCCACCAGACAAAAGCCTCCTTGCGTTATGAATTTAGGCTTTCAAGTCTGGTTTCAAGTCATGAGTTTTCCAAAGTATAATTCTCTGACTCATTTCTTTAGCTTCAATGTTGGCATAAAATTCCCAAGGCAGCACTTGTCTTCTTCACCCATGCCTTTGTGATTAACTCCCTAGGCTTCCTAAACATATAAAATATATTTTCCCAAGTGGAAAGAAACTCCTGTACACAGTTTCTCTCTTTACCTCCTTCCCACTGTAGTGCAATTGGCCTCCCTAACATCTCCTGCCTTGTGATACCAGCAAAGTCTAGGACCCAGGTCGGCTAGTGCAAGCATGCTGCACTGATCTTGGTGCTCCTCTACCTTTTAGTAGAATATAGACAAAGACAACCTTTTACTAACAGTTGTTTGAGTTACATAATACTATAATATTATAAAGACGTAATTTTGCTTATGCTTCTACCCAAAAGCCAGTCGCCATTTTTGTCTCCTTTAGCATCAATTCAAATAAAATATGATAACAAAAAGTTATTTCATTGACATAAAGATAATACCAAATTTACAGAGTGCTTCAATTTACAAAGCACTTTCCTTCCAACAACCCTGTGAGATAGGTAGCATTATTATCCCCATTTAATAGAACCTGGGACTCAAAGAGATTGTACTTGCATCAGGTCACATGGCAAATAAATGGAAGAGCCAGAACTGAAATGTAGGTCTCTTGACTTCAGATCCTACCATAGTTCTGTGTTGTCTCTCCAACATTAAAATTTCATTTTGAAATATTTTCCATAATGGGACAATTTAGAAGCATGTGCCAGGCTGGATCACAGACCTGCTCTGGAGAACAGATTTTTCTGCAGACAGGACAGCAATCTCATCCTTCAGAGTCCGAAGCTGTCGCTCATAGTCAGCTATCATATCCAAGCTGCGTTGGCGGGACTCCTCCTGGGCTTGAAGAGACTTGAGTCTTAAACACAAAGAAAAAAAAATAATTCAATGAGCAATAGCATGCATGCTTAGCAATAGCAGTAGCTCCACTAATCAGACCCCTACTGAATAATAAGTTTTATGAAAATGCAGATGAGCAATGCAAAAGGTAAGAAGTGAAAGGAAACCCAGGAGTCAGAATACCATGCCATGTCTGTGACTCAGAATGAATGGATATTTTTTTTTCCTACAGAGGATACTCACCTAGGTGATTGATGTCATCTCAGAACAGGGAGCCAACTAGAAGCCCGTATAGAGTAAAGAATATTGCATTGTTTTGGCTATTCCACTCTAGGTTAGACCAGCCTTCACTGAACACCACTGTGAAAGTCTGGCCTCCAGAAATTTATTATGAATATTTATCAAAAGCAGTAAAAAGAGGCTGGAGGAAAGAAGTGCATGATTTTATCCCTGAATGAATTTTAATCTTATATCTGTTAGGCATGAACTGATAACTATTGAAGGACTTTAAATTTCTCAACTGAGCTCTTCCTTATCTGGATAAATACCTTGAACAACTTCAAAGAAGCCATTTTACAGCCATAAGTGCCACAATTCAAGAACAGCAACACAAGAAGGAAACATGTAAAGGGACTGCTTAGGCATTACAATCAGAAAAGTCAGATCAGCCAATGTATGAAACAACGATTAAAGAAAGCTTCCCTGTGGCAAAGAGGGAGACTGAAATTGTCTAAGAGGAAAGACAAAGAAGAGTTTCTAATCTGCATCACTGGAGGGAGTTTCCACATCACCATTTCTCTATACCAGTGAAATCACTGATCTAGATTTTTTAAACTATTCTTTAAATTTGTTATTGAGGGCTAAAACTGCAATACCTCAAGCTCAGGAATAGAAGGAAAAGGGGAAAAACTACTTTGTTTGACACATAACCACCTAAACCATAGCTCTGATTAAACTTACCTTTTTAAAGGTTACTATCAATCTATCATTTGCTTAGTAAGATTGACCATTATTCCATAAGACAAGAGAATAATGAAGAACAGAAATATATACTTCAAGAATTGGCAAGGCAAAGATTAAGCAACAGGGCACCACCAAATACAGCTGAGGCAAATTTTTCTTACTGATTCTTTAGATGAATTATTTCATCCTCTGCAGCCAAAAGGGCTGTAGCTGATTTGGCCTTGGTGTCTTCAAGATCCATCTCAGTTTCTGCCAGACTGTAAGAGAAATCAGTAACTAAGGACAGATTTTCAAAATTGGTAGACCTTCCAAATTAAGCACAAGTTCTTCCCCAAAAAATTCACTGAATCAGGAAACAAAAAGACCCAGCTGTGAACAGACATCTGTATTCATAGTAAAAATATCATAGTAGGTTTCTATGCAAACACAGACTAACATTCTTTGATGAACAAAAGCAACCACACTAGAAAATACATGAGCTTCCATTTCCCCCCAAATACTGTGTAACAATTAGTACTAAGAAAAGAATATAGCACACACAAGAAAGATTATATTTGTCCAATCCTCTCCATCTTGCCCCTCTAATTGTTTCAATGGTTTGTTTACTGACCAATAGTTTTGTTCCTAACTTTAAAATGGCCATCATGTATCAGTTTACTAATTCCTAGGTCTTCGTCCACTTCACCCATGCCTACTATAACTTCCTAATCTTCCTAAACATTCAAACTATATGTTTCCTGTTGGTTTCCAATAATGGCCCCTGCTTTACGGTAGATGTTGCTTCTCTTTTGTGTCAGCAAGACACTATCTGCTGACAGTATCTTCTGACTATTTCTTGGGTTCTCTGTTGCCACCTGGTACCAGAGGAGAATACAATATCTTTCTCCTCTCCTCACTTCCCCCCTTTTCTTACTTCCTCCATAAAAGCAGCATTTCATCCTTACAGATAATTACAAAGATTTTCTACAGAGTGCTTTAAGGGGAAATTCCTGTAAAGTATTCCTCCAATCTTTTTCATGGTATAGAAAGGACCCTGGGTTTTCAAATGCTATTCTAGTTGACTGCAAGTCCTGACAGGTCCTGGTCAGGCTGCAAAGGCTGTGAGCATGGGCCTAGTGATGGAGTACTGTTGAGGACCAGCCTTGCTAAGTCTAGAGGCTCATCATCAGGTTGGCTTTGGGTTCGAGTTTTTCATCCACAATAACTCTTGAAGATCGTCTACTAAGTTACAGAAGGGTTGCAATCTGCATCACTGACAGCAGAACCCACATGATAGCACAGATCCTTGAAGTACTGAATTACTATAAGAGGAAAATACAAAGTGGGTATAATAAAAATGAAAAGGGTAACATTTATAAGTAGAAAAGCTTTTTATTAATAAATCTTCCTTTATATCAACTACAGGGAATCAGGGCTACTTTTTCTTAGCTCCCCCTTCCTTCTAATTGACCTCCTTTTGCCAAGTCTTAATCTTGATGTTACCTCTTTTGATGTTAGCTCTACTAAACTTTATGATAGTTCCTGTGTACTGCATTCAATTTGCAAAGCTGTTGGTATCTCAACTTTTCTGAATAGCGGTTTCAATAGACTGGTTAAGAACAGAAGTCAGATTGCAAGGAGTTGAGGAATGAGTAGCTGAAGAAAATCAAGGTAGTGAGGGTACCAGACTACTTTTTCTACATTTGTACAATAAAATAGAGGACAAAGAAAAAAATGTTAGCTTGAGGGAATTGCATTGTCAAGGGAAGCATTTTTTAAGGAAACATGGCCATTTTTGAGGAAAGAAGAGATATGAGAAAGTTTGTGGATAAAGAAAAAGGAGTCAGTAAAGAGAAAGATCTTAAAGATTAAAAAGAGAAAATATGGAACAAGACCCTAAAGAAAATAGGAGAAGATGGAATTGAAGGCACAGAGGGAAGGGTTAAATTTGGTAAGGAGAAGGAGTAACTAATTTATCCTCTAAGACAAGAAGGAAGGAGGAGAAAATATGCAAAAATATAGGGGTTTTTTGAGGTATGGAGGAAGGAAGTTAAGGAAGGTAATTGAGTAGTCTTCATCTTTTCAGTAAAGTAGGAGACAAGGCAATTTTCTGAAAGAGAAGAAAATTCAAATGGAGTTCAGGGTTTGAGGAGATCAGAAAAGGTTTGGAATAGCTGATATGGTAAATGTGATAGGGAAATCATAAGAAATTAACATGAGGGTTTTCACGGAGCACCTAAGGACCTAACTGAGGTTAGAATGCATACATTTGTAATGAATAGAGTCAGCACAGTGTCATAACTTCCTAAACCAATATTTAGTTTAGAAATAAAGAAAATGGGGATTAGCAGAGAAGGAACAGTGGAATCACAAAAGGATTCAGGGATAGAGAGAGGATGACCGTTAGATTAAGACTGGGTAGGAAAAGAAGCAAAAAAAAAAAGGATAAAGGATAAAGGACTAAGAGAAAGATAGAGAATAATTCAAAACATCAAAGGTCAGGAAGAGGGCTAAGAGTAGATTTTAAGAAGAATGAGGGAGTAAGAAAGGTGGAAGGACAGGAGATTATAGTCAGATATATGTTTCACAAAGGATATGGTGCAGTTGCATGTGACAGTGATGTCTAAAGGAGTATGACAAACTGTCCTTATGAATTAACAAAGTAAAATAATGATACAGGTTCATGATTGTTGAAGGATTTGACAAAATGTGATAAAAGAACCCCCCATATGAATAATGAAATTGCCAATGATGACAACTACGGCTGACTATATGAGGCCAAAGTGGAAAGGAAGAGATTGAGAAGGAGAAAGTATTATGGAGCTCAGAATATGATCGGTATAAAGATTAAAAGAAGATGGTATATAAATAGCATTAATTTCAAAGGAAAAAAAGATTGAGTTAAGATACTAGAGAGTTGAGCAAAATAAATGCCAACTCTACCCCTGACAAGCATTTTGTTGTTGTTGTTCGGTCATTTCAGTCGTGTCCAACTCTTCATGACCCCATTTGGGGTTTTCTTGGCAAAGAAAGTGATTTGCCATGTCCTTCTCCAGCTCATTTTACAGATGAGGAACTAAGGCAAACAGGGTTAAGTGACATGTCCAGGGTCACACAGTTTTAGTGTCTGAGGCCAGATTTGAACTCATGAAGATGAGTCTTCCTCACTCCAGGCCCAGTACTTTATCCACTGTGCCACTCAGCTGCCCCGGTTTTTATTATGCACTTATAATATGCAAGGCACTTTTCTAAGCACTGGGGACATAAGTACAAAGAATGAAATAATCCCCAACTGCTGAGGAACTTAATATTCTAATGGGGGAGAAGAGAAGTACATATGTAAATATATAAAGTAAACAAATGTAAAAATATATATATATATATATACACATATGTATGCATATATGTATGTATGTATAAAGTGGCCAAATATATGGTAGATTTAGAGGGAAGGCACTACTACCAACTTGGGGGAATCAGGAACAATTTCAGACAGATGATTCTTGAACTGCATCTTGAAGGAAGAAAGGGACTCTGAGACAGAGGCAAGGAAGAAGTACATTCCAGGCATGTGGATAACCAGTGCCAAGGCCAGGAGACAGGAGGGGAGGTATTGGATGTGAGCAAAGACTTCACAGAGTGAAGGAAGGAAGGGGAAATAACATCCAATGAGGATGGAAAGATAGGTTAGGGTCAAGTTGTGAAGGGCTTTTAAAACTAAACAAAAAATTTTATGTTATCCTTGAGGCAATAGAGAGCCATTGGAGTTGATTGAGTAGTGTAGTGACATGGCCAAATTTGCACTTAGGAAGAATCACTTTAGCAGCAATATGGAGGATGGACCATAGTGGTAAGAAACCTGCAGTAGGGAGACCAATCAGAAGGCTGTTGCAATAAGCTCGGCTAGCGGTGTGGAGGAGCTGAGAACTAAGGTATTAGCTGGTGAGTGGAGCAATGTGAGAGATGTTGTGAAGGTAGATATATGGCAAGATTTGGCTACTGACTGGGTGAAGGAAAGGGAGGGGTTGAGGTTAATGCTGGGGTTATGACCCTGAGAGACTTGTGAGGATGGTGGTACATCCAAATGAAACAGGGAAATTTAGAAAAGGAGAGGGTTTTGGAGGAAGCATAAGTTCAGTTTTGGACATGTTGAGTTTGAGATGTCTCTAGGACTTCTAACTTGAAAAGGGCAGTAGGCAAGTAATGATGCAGGACTGAAGTTCAGGGGAAATACTGGGGCTGGATATATAATGTGACTTTAACTATAATCTCTTTACGTATATGTGTGTGTGTGTGTGCATACATATATACACATATAGTTGTATACACCCATGTGTATATATACACATACACGTTTTATGTTTTATCAACTTGGTAAGTCCCTAATCTTTCCTCCAATTAGAAATAAGATTATCTAAATTTTGTACCCTGGTTAATTTTTTTCTTTTAATTAAATGATCTTATTTGGTTGTTTTTAATGTATAAAAGTCTGTCTCCCTCGTATTCAGGGTCCACTGCCAAAGCTTAGGAAGGTGACTAGACCCGATTTGTTATCCAATTGGCATGCATTGCTTAATAAGTTGACATGCTAGGGGCAGCTAGGTGGCACAGCAGGTAGTGTACTGTCCCTGAAGTCAGGAGGAGCTGAGTTCAAATTTGGCCTCAGACCAAACACTTGACACTTACTAGCTGTGTGACCCTGGGCAAGTCACTTAGCCCCAATTGCCTAAAAACAAAAACAAAATAAATAAATAAACAGACAGACAGACAGACAGACAGACAGACAGATAGATAGATAGATAGATAGATAGATATAGATAGATAGATAGATAGATAGATAGATAAGTAAATTGACATGCTCAGGAGCTTGAACCTTTGTTTCCTCAGTCATTTCATCTTTTACTTGCCACAGAAGTGGATGAGGTCAAAGGTTTTGAGAATTTTTAAGAGTCAGGTGCCATAAGAGAAATGACTAGCACTGGACATGGTCGCAGAGATGTCACATGCTCAGAGAAAATTTCTTGCTTCAACCCATTTCTCTACTATCCTCATTGGCACGCCTGAAGTAAATTCTCCTAACAAAATTATCTCAATTGACTCTGCTCTTGGGGATGACAGATTGTCTCTTTTTCACCCATACCCTACACTGGTATCAGACCTAGTAATCCCAGGATCCTAAAATTAAGTCCTGTGTTCCCTTCTTCTAAGGGCACCTCTCTCCCCTTCCACATTGCTCCGAAGATGGTTTTTGCTCTCTGATCTTCTTTCTAATTCAAAGCTTTATGGTACCTAGTACAGTGCCTGGTCCATAACAGGTGTTTAATAAGTGTTTGCCTGCTTGCTTGATTAATTGATTAATCCCCTTGTGGACCTACCACTCATTGGCAGAACCAAGCTTGCAGACATACTTTGCAGAAGTCATCAATCTTTTAAGGGAGAAGTTATTTTTGTAAAATGTTTCGAATTTGGCTTTTCAAGTAATATTCTAATATATGTTTTTAAATTTTATATAAGGGTACCATGTCCTCTTTTATCACAAACTATAACTTGTTAAAAAGTATTCCATTATAAATAATAGAGATATTATCATAGAAAGGAAGACATACATATTTTATTATAATTTTATATATTTCATATATATGTCTCCTCATTCCCATTAAATTATGAACTCTTTAAGACTAAGCTCTGTCTACTATTCTCTTTTCCTCTTTCCACAATATCTTACAAATATTTGATAAATTTTGGTTGACACTACCTAAATAATTTTTCTTACATGATTTTTTAAAAACTGTACACTTTTTAAAATTTTGACATTTTTTCAAGGATTTCACATCATTCAATCACATTGTTCTCCAGTTGGCCAAAGCTGCTAGATAAATGCTACATAAATGTCTTCCTTTTGATCTCACTCCATTCCTGATCTCTTACTCCTACCCTTCAGTTGTGTGTGTTATTTTTTAATCCCAAGTGCTCCTGAATCTCGTAAGACAGTCTTTACCCTACCCTCTTTTACCCAGAGATGGCTAAAAGTCCTGTGGAAAGAAGAATGGAATAAATACTTCCCCTAGGTGTTCTATAGTGTTTGGGATCATCATATTTTAAGAAAACATTGAGTGATTCTAAACCTCAAAGTCATCATCTCCCAAACATCTTAACCTTATTATTTATCTACAAAGCTTCCATTACCATATTAACTATGGGGCAAAATTTTCATTTCAAGATTAAAAGCAAAATTTTTTTAGTTTATTGAATGAAAAACCAATTATTTTCCCTTAAAAAAAGATAAATTATTTTCCTCTTACTCTTGTTGAACCATGCTGAGTTGTACACGAGTTGAATTCAATTCCGAATCTAACTGCTGTATCTCCCGTTCCCGGGTAGCAGAAAGTTCTCGTAGCTGTCTGTCCTTTTCAAGTGACTCCTTCAATGAAAAATAAACACAAAAACTGTCTGAAACCCTATTAAATATTTTCAGAAAATCATGCATAAAGTAGCATATTTTTATAAAAGTCTGAACCGTTTAGAAAAAAAGGTTACTAAGGCTTTACTTTCCCAGACACAAAAACACAGCTGTAATAATCATAATCATTACCATTATCACAGCTCACTTTTATAATATGCATTAAGAAGTTTACTAAGTACCTTCTTCATTAAAATCCTATAAAATAAGTAAAGAAATAGGGTCAGAGAAGTTAAGAGCTTTGCCCATTGTTAAATAATTAATGAGTGGTCAGAGTCAGGATTCAAACCCAGGTTTCCAAACACTAATTATAGTCCTCTTTTCCACACTGACAACCACACTGCCTCTTCTTCAGAAAAGAAAATTACCTTCTTCCCACCCTGCTCTATAGCTGCGCAAAAATTGGCATTGTCTCGCTATTATACTAGCAATAAGTAATTATAGAACTTCTCTCCTGAGTCACTAAAAGGAAGATGCCTTTATATGCTGGGCAATTTTCAATAGGTTTTATTTTTCTCATTCAAAAGTGCAGGAGCCTTCTCCATTCACCCAACTTCTTAGCTTCTGAAGGCCCAGAACACCTTGTACCATTCATTTGGCACTTAGTGTACAAGGCCTGGTAGAACTATCTGTATATGTCTTGTCTGCCAAATAGATTGTTATCCACTTGAGAATGGAGGCTGTGTATTACAATCAATTCAACAAACATTTGCTAAGCACTTACTAAGCGCAATGGCAAGCATTGAGCTAACCTTTGACAGAACCTATTAGAACATTTAACTGATAGTAAGTACTCAATAAATGTTTGAAAATGGTGAAAATCGGGGGTTATCTTTTAACATATACTACCTGAAAAAGGCTTAAGTTGTTGTCAATGGGTTTTCCTATAGAAGAATTGGAGAAGCAAGTCCCTAGCCAGGGCAGAAGTCGAGATTTGATTGTTTCCACACCAGCATAATGTCCACCTAGGAGAATAAATAAGTTAAGACGTGAGACTGCAGGCATGGACATGCATTTTCATATAAATGTGTGAAAATCGTGGAACGGAAGAAAAGAGAGTGGATGCATGATGTATATGCACAAGGCAGAACTCTTTCTCACCTTCTTGCGCTGTTAGACTGAAGATTGTGAAGAGCTGCCCCTGTATTCTGGAATTCAGTTCAATTATTTCACAGCAGCAATTCAAGTTTTGATCACATGAGTTCATCTGCAAAGCCAAGCCATCAAGGATAAGTACAGTCCTCCACTCTGAAAATCATTCCAGGCCAGATACAGATAAATAACTCATTCTACACAACAGAAGTGTTTCTGAAAAAGTTGTGCACCAAATAAATGTGTGTAAATGGAATTTTATCTAAATGCTTTCAAGGGCAGCTTCCTACCTAATGGAATGTTGCAGAAAATCTTTTTTTTTTAAGCGGAGAATTCTTTCATAAATATAATCATTCCACAAACTGTGTTTTGCTAGTTCACATTCTTTCATATGCTGTTGGTATAAAGTAGAACATACTTTTACCTCTATCAACAACTTCTCAAAAAGATTGCTATTCTTTGAGAGACTTGAAAAACAAACAAAGCAATGACCAGCTATGATTTCAGAGGATTGATGATAAAGCATGCTATGCTATCCACCTCCATCAAAGACATGATGGATGTGATGGACAGTGCAGATGGAGATATATATATTTTTGGACATATCCCACAAGCAAATTTGTCTTATCACATTCCTACACCAGTAGTTTCATACATGTGCCAAAATCACAGATCTTTTGTATATTCTTCTACCTTGTGTACCCAATGTGGAACAGAGTGAAAAGATGTAAAAACAGGGTTGGTCAGAAATGATAGTGATAAGAGGTAAGAAAGATAAAGAATTTACCTAGAGAAATGTCAAGGGAAAAGCAATAAAGGAAAAGAGATAGGTTTGTATTTTACTTTAAGATCATGCTAACCTAAGAATCACTATGAAGAAAAGGAAAAAAAAACAAAACAAAACACAGGAATCACTAGGCACTCTGGGGGAAAGACTAGAAGCAAAACTGATGGTATTGTATACAGAGTATGGGTAGTACTACATTATTCCATCTCCAGAAAAATGCAGCTAAAGACCACCCAGAGGATGATGGAAAAGCACATGGTAAATACAAGCAGGGAGCAACACATTATAAACAAGAAATTATGTAGAAGTCATATAAAGGATCTCATGAGACATAGGCACAAAGGAGAAAAAAGATGGGCTGTTCACACAGCAAAGAACTAGTGGACAGCCCGTAGTCCACTGTAGTCCACAAATGTGAAGAGAAAAGATGAATAAAGCCAACAGCATGTCGGATGATCTGTGTCTGATTTGTGGGAGAACTTAAATGAAGCTGTACTAGTTGGATCAACAATGTATATTTGGAGGGAGTATCCCACTTCATTGAGCTCCCAGATTCATTAAGGTACTAAAGCATTAAAGTCTACAAAGGTTAGCACCACCACCTCTTAGCAATTAGTGAAAGGTTATGCCAATTAAATATCAAAGTTATGTTAGTATACCATAGGTTTGTGAAGGAGATAAATTAAGGAAATTCCTTGATCAACTTGATGAAGTTACAAGAAGTCTTTGCTTAGGACTCTGAGTATATCTCCCTACAGAAGAAGTCAGGATCCGTATTAACAACCTCATTGAGTGGATGGAAGGGACATCTATTGGAAATACCCACTAACATCTAATAGAGGATGAGTGATTAAGTCTCTTCCATCTGGAATGACACTCATAAATTCCCCCTTCTCTATACCAGAGAGCTAGGCCCCAAGCTCTCCAGGAACTCAAAATTATTCAGGAAATAATTCCTGACTTATCCAGGATCCTGGGTTTAAAGGACTCCCACCATTTAGCTAAACACTACCCATTTCCTAGAGTCATCATATGTTTGATAACACGTGCAACTGCAATGTGTCGCTGTCACTACCACTTGCAATGCCTCACCATGGCTGGCACTTGGGGTTCAGAAATTTTAGGGCCTCTTACTACTCTACCACTGGCCCAGCTCCTACTAGCTATAGTTTATGGGGCTGAGGTGGGAAATGGTCAGTCAGACCCTGACACAGGAAGGGGCTGTGCCAATGCCCAAAATGTGCCCATTTCCCAAGTCTGCTCTCAGGTCTCAGCTCTCTCTGGATTGCACCAGGGGGGAAAAAAAGGTAAAAAGGCTGACTATGCAATGAAACTTCCTTTTTTAAGTCCAGCATAAAGGGATGGGTACAACCCACAATAGTCGGAGCCAATTAATCCCCAGAGACTGCGACTCAGAGAGAGATGCATTCAAAAATCCCCAGACATTTATTTTTATGTTATCAAAGTTAACCAGAGAACTTCTCTGATCAATCAATCACCTACACTTGTTTCCAATCACAATATACAAAGAATGGTTACAAAAGCTTAGTAGAGAAATATAGATGATTTAAAAAAAAAAAAAGAAAGTTTGGAGAATAAGAGAGGATCACCTATACTGTATTATAGGGGACAAAACCCAATAACAACACTAGACTAGGAATTTGAAACTTAGTACCCCTTCCTGTCATTTCGTATTACAAGTCCCTTAAACTCTCAGTCTCAGTTTCCTCATATGTAAAATGATAGAATTTTAGATTAGAGAGCTCTGAGAGCTTTTTCAACTCTGATATTCTATAATGTCACAATTCTAATTCATAATTCTAAAATTAATTAGCCTAACAGCCACCAGGAATTGATAAAAATGAAAGTTAAAAACAATGAGGGGAATACAGATATTAGCTGAAACTCATTTTCTCTCTCAGGAGAATAGGTTTCAAAGGGTTCAGAGAAAGGTTAGGTAGGATCCCATGGAGTACAACTCTGTAAGTGAGGCTAGCCTAGGAGGATGCAAAGTTCTCAGGAATTAAATCTGAAAAGACAAAGAGAAACAATTGTGTGGAGGGAAAAGGATCTGCTTCCTTAAGAGACTTGTATGGAACTAAGACTCCAAAAATGCATCAAATAAGATGGAAGTAAGGGCAGTAATGGAGTAAAGAAGATGGAAGCAAATGGAGGATGAATATAAAAACATACAAGAAAAAAGAATGAACCCAAAGGGAAAAAAAATAATAGTTTGGGGAAATGAAAGGCATTGTGGTACAGTGGGAAAAGAGCTGGCCTCGAGGCCAAGAAGAGATGGATTTGAGTCCTTCTTCTGACACATACTGGCTGTGTGATTCAGAGCAACTCACTTAACCCCCTAAGTACTCTAGGCAATTTCGTAAGACCATAAATTCCAGAGATGATGCCAACCTACACTGGGGAGTCTCCTCTCTTTTGAGTTCCTGTTCTCAATGAAATTCACTCACTATCCTTGGGGAGAGAGGAGGATCAAAGAAGAGGATTCCTTCATTTGAAGACTTCTCTAGTAACCAGGTAACAACTGTCTCCTAAGAAGTCAAACAAGCGCAAGGCCCACAAAGAGGAACATACTAGCACCCCCTGTCCCTGAAGTACTAAGTGCCTGCACCCTACCACCAGCACCACCAGCAAGCCCAGCCTTCCAGGGCATTTCACGATGAAATGGTTCCTGAAATCAGACATTCTTCATGAAGTCTCCACAGATTAGTCCTGAGTACAGTTGGGTATGGCCTTTGAGGAAAAGCCTCTCCTAATTACCAAACTCCAATGGCCTTTCTACCCCATCCCCTTTTCTATTCTCTCCTTTATTTCTCTGAACCATTTGAGTGATAATTTCAACCAATTATGCCTCATTCATATGTGACCACATGAAAGTTTAAAGGGAGAGAAAAATTACTTGTATTTATTGAAAATTGGAAAATTATAAGATGAAGAGGTACACAGGACACAAAAGAAGTACAAGGACACAAAGCAAGTTAGAGGACCACATTGGGAACTTAGCTACACAGCATTATGTCCCCTCAGCTCATCTGTATATAATCTTAAGACTATATACATTATATTTACTCTTATGACTAAAGATTTTTCATTAAAAATGAGAAATCCTATAAATATTTGAAGCCTGAAATATTATTTTCAAGTGACTATCAATTTCACAGGAGAAAGTTTCTACTTTTGAGTAAAAGGTGAATTTGCTGAGAGCCAAGAGGCTTTGATTTAAGTCATTGATAGCTATAGATGTTAGAGACAGGAAACTGAAGCTGAAGAGTAAAAGAACCTAGCTATTGAGGTTAAAAAAACAGCTGGCGGTTGGGAAAGCAATTTCTTGAAGCTGTTTGAAGAGACCAATTGCAAGAGCTGTCAGCTGATAGAAAGATTTAGCGAAGTGACTTCTGATTGGCTGAATGAAGACCGAAATTTTAGTTACTGCCCTTCATTGCCACCTAAAGTTTAAGAGAAGTAAAGCTTCTCAGAAGTTTATGGTACCTCTTTTCACCCCCTCTTGTCTGAGAAGGAAAAGCAAAAAAAAGGAGAAAGACAGGTACTACATCTGATTTGTTTTAGAGGAAGAGATGGCTAGGCTGATTTGCCTTACTAACGAGCTGTTTTGCTTTGGGCTCTGTTCTGATTGGGCAGCACATTATCCAGGTGAGTGAATAACTGACCGGCCTAGTCTGTAAAGCCCAGAGACAGCCAGCCTGAGGAACTTTGAAATTCTCTAGCTTAAAGGCAACTGATATTCACATTAAGAAGTAACATTTTGGGGGCAGAGCCAAGATGGTGGAGTAGGAGCAGTAACTTGTGTGAGCTCTCCCCCAAACCTCTCCAAATACCTGTAAAAAAAGAATTACTCTTAACAAATTCTAGAGCAGCAGAACCCTCAAAAAGACGGAATGAATCAAATTTTTAGCCCAAGACAACTGGATGGTTGATAGGAAAGGTCTGTTGCACCAGCTGGGAGAGGAGTGCAGTTCAGCATGGGCCATGCAGGCTCCCAGCAAACCCCAGGCCTCAAGGGACTGAATCACGGGCAGCTGTGTCAGTTTCCAGATCTCTCAACCCACAAACACCAAAGACAACTTAAAAGGTCAGTGGGAAAGGTCTGCCAGACCTGGGTGAGAGAGGAGCGCAGTCCAGCCCTGCTCTAGCACAGCCCTGGGGTGGCAGCCACAGTGGCAATGGTTACTTCTGGAGCTCTCAGCTGATAGACAGTGGGGGGAATTGAGTGGCTGATCAGAAGGGGATTGCGGAGATCTCTTTGTTTGCTTTGCTTATGCTTGGATCTGGGTCACAGTCCTGGGTGGTGG